AGAGTGGATGACCTCCTGCTTTTCCTTTGACCTCATCGAAAAATCATGCTTTAATGATATCCTAGCCTACTTTGCTTTGTAACATTCCTCACACACCTGACTTGGTTCCTTTACCTGAGGCAATCCATATACCATTTTCTTCTGATTGAGCATACATAAAATTTTGAAGTTTAGATTTTCATACATTTGATGCCATAACCAATTATTTTCTTCTTCTGTGGTCAAAGCAAGACAGTTGTGATCAACCGTGTTGATCTCTACATTGAAGGTCTTATTATCTTCCAATGATGCCTTCAAAATCAACATTCATCACCATCACACACCTTCATATGATACTTTTCTAGCTCTATGTTGTATCCTTTTGCAAGTAATTGACCTACGCTTATCAACTTATTTTCCACCGAAGGTACATACAATACATCAGTGATATTGTCTTTTTGACCATCATTTCTAACCACACATATGTCTCATTTTCCACCTGATGTGACGTGTCTGCCATCTGCAAACTTGATCACTTTCTTGATTGATGCATCTAACTTGGTGAACTAGGTTTTATTTAAAGTCACATGGTTACTGCATCCGGAATCTAGGTACCGCATGTTGGTTTACTCATTGCTCGACTGAGTATTTTCTATTAGCAGAACATCATTAGAGTCAATATCTCTAGCATATGAATAATGCTCTTCATCACTATCGTTTGCTCTTGTTTCTTTCTTTCTTCGACAATCTTTGAGCATAATGACCAAATCTTTTACATTTGTAACACTTCACCTCATTCATGTCAACTTTCTTCCCCAAATACTTGTTTCCCGTGTCTTTTGTGGTTGAATCAGAGTAATTCTTTGAATTCTTGCTAGACTTCTCATCATTAGAAAGATTCTTTCTCTGTTTCGCTTTCTCTTTTCCAGACTTCTTGATGAATCTTACTTGCAGTGCTTGTTCGGCCACTTTCTCCCTTTTTTTAGTTCCTCTACTTTAGCCTCTTATCATGAGCCTCTAATGAAGCTTTAAGTACGTCTAATTTTATCCCAGCTAGGTTCTTGGACTCTTCAATAGATACTACAATGTAATAATGCTTTGCTGTTAGAGATCTCAACACTTTCTCAATCTTTTGGAAATCGGTGATCGATTCACTACACACTTTCATCTGCTTTGTTAACACCACCACACTTGAAAAGAACTCTGAGACTGATTCATCTTCCTTAATCTGAGTCATATTTAATTTCTTTCTCAATGTCTGCAACTTCACCCTCTTCAGTTTTTCATCTTCGTCGTACAAGTTCTTTAACTTATCCCACACTTCTTTGGTTGTGTCTTCTTCAATTATCTTCTCGAACACGTTAGGATCCACACACTAGTGAATCAAGAACAAAGTTTTTCCATCTTTCTTCCTTTGATCCTTTTGCGCAGTTTTCTGAACACCATTTACATTCACATCCAATGTCGGTACTCCATCATTCAGGATTTTTGACACCTCTTGAAATCTGAAAATGATCTTTATTTGCGCAACCCACCTCTCGTAGTTCTCACCTTTAAAAATCGATAGATTCGTTCGAAATTTCATTGATGTTATTATTCCGTTTGTCATTATAGATTCTCTCTTAATCACAACCCGAACCCTTTAATATCAATTTGTTGAAACAATTAGAATTTTCAAAAAAGATGAGAGAAGAAAAAGGGGAAAGAAGATTATGTGTGCAAACTGAAGAGAAGATTATGTGTGCAAACTGAAGAGATCTTTATATGGACTTAAACAATCTCCTCGACAGTGGAATAAGAGATTCGACAAGTTCATGGAACACATAGGTTTCATTAGAAGTCAGTTCGACCATTGTGTTTACTCCAGATTTCGACATGAAAATTCATTTGTTATTTTGTTGCTTTATGTTGATGATATTCTGATAGCAAGCAACAATGTCGAAGATGTAATGAGGGTGAAGGCTGAACTCAATAAGGAGTTTGACATGAAGGATCTGGGAGCTGCATCTAGGATTCTTGGAATTGACATTCGAAGAGATAGAAAGCAGTCGAAATTATGCTTATCTCAAGAGGCATACCTACGAAAGATTCTTGACAAGTTTGGTATGTCAAATTCAAAGCCTGTTGTGACTCCAACAAACCCTCAATTCAAGCTGAGCATTGATCAATGTCCTAGTACTGATGTTGAAAGAACATATATGAACAACATCCCATATGCTAATATAGTTGGTTCTTTGATGTATGCTATGGTCTGTACTAGACCCGACATAGCATATGCAGTAAGTCTTGTAAGCAGGTACATGGCGAATCCTGGAAAGGCTCACTGGCAAGCGTTAAAGTGGATTCTAAGGTACATAAATGGGTCTCTGAACAGAGTCTTAATTTATGGTGGAGCCTTGGGTGAAGATAGTAAAGCAGCTGTCGAAGGCTATGTTGACTCTGATTATGCAGGCTGTATGGATTCCAGAAAATCTATTTCTGGATATGTTTTCACTATGTTTGGTACAGCAATTAGTTGGAAAGCAACTCTTCAGAAGGTTGTTGCCTTATCAACTACTGAAGCAGAATATATTGCCCTAACTGAAGCTGTGAAAGAAGCATTGTGGCTTGAAGGTTTTGCAAAGGAACTGAAACTTCAAGGTCAAGGTATCACTGTTAAATGTGACAGTCAAAGTGCAATACACCTGTCGAAGAACTAAGCCTATCATGAGCGAACCAAGCACATAGATGTGAGACTGCATTTCGTCAGAGGGGTAATCGAGCGTGGAGAAGTCCAAGTGCTGAAGGTCTCGACAGATTACAATGCCGCTGATATGATCACCAAAACATTGCCAAGTTGCAAGTTTTTCCACTGTATGCAGTTGATAAAGCTGCATGAAGAAAGCTAGTTAGTGTCTCTTGATGCTGTAGAGTTAGGTCCAAGGTGGAGATTTGTGGGATTTTTGATCAAACTCTAGTATGATCGAAGTACATGCTGTAGTCGAAGAAGGGTCTAAGCATGTATTTGTCGAGAATGCTTGTTAAATTAGGTTTTAGTGTTTAAACCCTAATTTGTTAAGTTAGCTTGTTTATTAAGTTAGCTTGTATAATGGGCCTTGTGGAAAAAGCCCATTAGTTAGTATGTTAGGTTTTATTATAAATAGCATACTAGTCTCTCATCATTGCAACACACAGCAAATCCTAATTTAGGGTGAGAGGGTTATTTGTTATCCTTGTAAACTTGTAATCTTGTTTTCTAAGAGAAAGTAAAGAATATCAGTTATAACCAATTCTTGTGTTCTTCTTCTTCCTTGTTCGTTATTCCTCCCTTTATTCTATACTTTGTTATTGGCATTGAATTCACAACATGTCTCAAGAACACAAATTAATAAATTATTTATAAAATATTTTTTTAAAATACGTTGATTCAATGTTTTAAATTTTAAATATAATTTTGTTATATTTAAATTTTTTAATAATAATATCCTTAGCATGACCCTATTTTTTAAGACTCATTTTCTTTTCTTTTTTATTGCTAACTTTGTCTTGTAATTCATCTTATTTGACCACAAAACCATGAACTTAGCACCATGGAAACAAATAGTCAAAATCTATCATAAATTTTTCGAAATATTTAGAGTACCAAGGTAGAAAATGTACATTCATTTAGTCAAAATTAATAAATAATGTACATTCATGTAGTCAAAAATAAAAATAATGTACATTCTTAAAATTAACTTGAGTATTCTAAAAACCTATTTATTGAATAAAAATGATTTTTTAAAAAGTAAATATTCAAAATCCTCAAATTATTAAATGTTAGTGCTTTTTGAATTAAAAAATAATTTTCCAATGAATACTTTCAAAAACACGCACAAAAGATATGTTAAATATACTAGTTTAACTTTGACCGAAAACTAAATAAACTAACTTTAGTATTCAAGAAACCGATTTATTGAAGAATAAAAAAATGATTTTTAAAAAAGTAAATATTTTAAAATATGTTAAATATAATAGTTTAACTTTGACCAAAAAATAAATAAATAAACTTTAGTATTGTAGGAACCGATTTATGGAAAACTTATTTTTGGTATAAAATTAAGTATTTTCAAAATCATCAAATTATTAAATGCTACAATTTTTAAGTAAAAATATTTTTTAACCAATATTTTTAAAACACTCATAAGACACACATGTTAAATATTAAATATGATACATTAACTTTTTAGTATTCTAGAAACCGATTATTAAAGAATATACAAATATTTTAAAGTAAATAATTTCAAAATTACAAAATTATTAAATACTACTTTTTTTTAAAAATTATTTATCAATATTTTTAAAACACTCATAATACATATTTTGAATATAATAAATTAACTTTATTATTCCGAAAACCGATTAATTAAAGAATCAAAAAATGATATTTTTTCCCATTAAATATTTCAAAATCATCAAATTACTAAATACTAATGTTTTTTTAATTTAAAAAGTCTTTAACCAATATTTTTAAAACAATTATAATACAAATTTTAAATATAATAAATTAACTTTAGTATTCTAGAAACCAATTAATTAAAGAAAAAAATGTTTTTCAATAACCATTTCCAAAATTATCAAATTATTAAATGATAATATTTTTTTATTAAAAATAAAAAATTCTTTAACCAATATTTTTAAAATACTAACAAAAAACATATGTTAAACATAATAATTTAACTTGCATTAAATGTTTAAATTAAAGTTCCTCCATGTCTTCTAGAAAAGTGTTGGAACATGTCTCTATTGTTCAATTGGACAAGCTATATAATCCTCTAGAAGATTTTGACAAAAAAATGCCAAATCCTTCTCCTTTAATTATAATGACTAATGAAATATACTTACTATAGTCCCATCTAAGCTATTGAATCATTTTCTTTGTCACTTTCACAAAAAAGTACCAAACAAGTTAATTAATAATCCTAGTACTATTTTATTTTTATTTTTAATTTCAATACTATTTATTGTATTGGGTCTATGCACAGTTTCAAGTTCATTCTAAAATGGACTTGAAAGATTCTCATGAATTTGATAAGGTTCCTTCTCATATGCTTATTGAAGCCACTGGTGATTCTGAAGATGAGTTTGGTTATGAAATTGGAAGTGCTGATTATGATGATGATGATGCTGAATCTTGTTGCCATGATAATGCTGCTGAGTTCAAGGTATGTGAGTCTTTGAATGAAGATGAAGATGAAGAAGTGAAAAAAAGTGATGTTTATGGTACTTCATATTGTGAAGATTATGATATACAAGAAAAGAACAATTACAAGTCTTATGTGTCTGATGATTCTTCTGATCAAGAGTTTTTAGATGAGATGGAAAAGAACAGGCTTTTCTGGGAAGCTTGTTTGGCGTCTTGATTATACACATAGAATCACTTTTGATGAAAGCTTTCAATAGTGTCTATGCTTATACTGATTTCTAAATTTCTTAAATTGTTCAAACCATATTTCATGTTTCATATGCCGTTTCTGTGTTTCGTCCTATAATTGGTCCAACCAAATTTTTTCATACATGGAAGACTTGTTTGATGTCCAACACCGGGTTAACATTGCTGTTTGTGTCATTGTTATAATATACATCAAATTATTATCAGTATCGACATATCATCGTTCGTTTGCATATGATGTATGTATCTGAGTTATCAATGAAAGTATCATTAGGGCATATACTTGTAATAATCATGTTAGATAATTGGTTGCTTTGATTAGATTTTAAGTTCATATGATAATATGTTTTGTTTAAGGAGATTTAAGAAAGTTAGGTGAATTTTAATGTGATGATTTTATGTGACTGTTAGATGGGGGAAGACATGTGGGCGGCAAGATTAATGGGTGGAAAGTAATTGGGTTTAGTATGGCCCCACATTGATATAAAGTCCTCCCACCTTGATTAAATTCTTAAGCTTTTAGTTTTTTATTTGGAGAATAAGCAATGCTTTTAGTGAATAAAAATAGTTGCACTATAACATGTTTATCTTTGAATAATTTAAAATCAATTATTGTTCAACTTACTTTGCATTATAGTATTAAGTGTTAACATTGCCAAGAGTGAAGACATAGTCAAATCTCACAGATTATTAAATAGTGTGTGAGTGAGTCTTTACCATTGAAATTGAAAATATTTGTTCACACGTTTTCTTTATTTTTTAGGAGTTGATTCCTTTGGAATAGAGACTTTTTCATGGTGTGACTATGACCCTATTCAAGCATACTATCAATAAATTTGGAAGTTGCACATGGTGTGTATTTGAATAGTATGTATATATTGTTTGTTTTTATTGAAATCACACGGTTTAAATGTCAATTTTCATATTTTTAGATGTGGTCGGGCGTCACTCGGCTTCGATCAGGGTCGCTTGACTCACATCTATTTTTATTGTCCGATCCATTTCGCCAACACATAGTAAACCCGATGTTCACAAGAAAGTCAGTCAAAACTTAGCATGAGGTGAGAAAACCGCCCCTATAATGGGGGAAGAGTCGGTCTTCCTCAATTTCCGTGAATTTATATTTCTTCCTCAATTTCCATGAATTTATATTTCTTCCTCCTCACTATTCGACATAAGAAGCCTCAAATTCCTCAGTGTCTCTAGCAACCATACACGCAAACCTACCTCCTTATTGTATTTTACAAGTACAATATATATTAAAATTTGAATCGACTGACTTCGATCTAACATACACGGTGAGTAAAAAGTGTGGATTTATAGAATTTACATGGGGAGAGTTTGTGTTTCATAGGTGACTTGATAGTTCTGTTACTGTTAGTAGCAAATCTACACATTGTGACAGGAATTGAACATAAATGAATCCATAAAATTTTGATCATGAACTGCATACATAACTAGCACCATTTTCAAGCTTAATCAATCTCTCTAGCCCCTAAAAATTAATCAACAACTTCAACTTCTAACCTATATGAAATTCTTAGCTACTATATCCAAATAGTCTAGTATTTGGACATACATAATCATGTCAAATTCAGCACTAAACTGAACATAACCAAGTTAAAATCCAAAACAAGCCAAACACTTCCTAATCCGTGTACTAATCAAATATACACACGCAACCCTGCTTGTAAAAAACACAAAACCTAAAGCAATTCATTTAAACTTAAAACATTTCTCATAACCAGAAACTCGTGTTCTTTAGCTAGATGAAACACAATCACCACATTTATTTACCATCTCCACATCATTGGTTTCTTTACTTTCAATCGATGGACTACTTGTTGTATCATCATTCGATCCTTCAGTTGTTGTCGAGTCGTCTCTAGAACTGGAACTCAAACAAGAATCCTCAGTTTTTGTATCAGTAACTGATATAACAGATTCCACATTATAGTTAGACGCTGCCTCTTCAATGTTGTGGCTGTAGTCATCATGATCATCATAATCTAACTTGGCTCTTTTGGATTCACCATTAGTATCCATTTCTTGTTGACTGTCATAGTCATCTACTTCTGATTGACGATCTGATGAATGAGATGACATTGATGAATATTCTTCTGTTGATGTTTCTTCGCGGTCTCGAAGTGTCTTCAATATCAGTGTTTTAAGTAAATTCATCACTTGGACCGCGTGCATAAGAGCCGTTAATGGATCAGACATCTGTTTCATGAGACAAAAAATTAAAAATGTAATTCAAATATCAGTGATGTGGGTGATTGTCTGATGTAGGACTCTTAACATACACGACTTGAGATATTAGTCTCTCTATACTAAAAAAGAGCGAGTGTGGAAACATACTTGAGTCATATTTGGAGCGAAAACCATTGCAATATTTCTTGCATCCATTTTATTATACTCAGCTTCGACTACAACATCAGCCATGAGATCAATAGCCCAACTAAGCAAAGCCGATTCAACCGGTTTCAGCTCCTTCACAAGCTCAACAGATTCTTCTTCTGTGTTGCATTCAAGAACTTCCTCAGGTGAAAGTCCATCCAAAACTCCACAAGGAAGTTCCCTAAACCATGCTTTTATCAAACCAGCCAAACAATGAACATCAATGTCCTTCGGCACGATGCCACTATTCAATTGCTCCCTCAAATGTTCCTCCTCGCCGTTTTCAGGATTTATACGAAATATTCCTTCAGCCTGAAAGTTGATCAATTCATCAATTAATTAAAGACAAAACAGAAGCGAAAACAGTTATAGTTGGTTAAATAATCTGAAAAACTGATCAATATATCATAAATTTTGAACTTACCTTCAATCCTCCCTGTGAGTATAACCTTTCCTGCATCAGTAGCAGAATAGTGGGGACACTGTTTCCTTTTGAATCATAAGAGCATTGCATTGATTCTGCTGAGACACCAAACACACTAACACTGCAAATATTCATGATAATTCACACATTACTAAAAAAATTAACACAGCTTAATAGCTTTTTGAAAAAAGCTAATTATAAAAAATGAAATTATTAGCATTTTAATCAAACCACAATAAAACAGATACATATTTGGTAGTAATAACAAAATAAAATTAGAAAAAGTACCTAGCACTAGGAACAGGAACAGGGACATGAACCTCAAGTTCAAGAGGAAGACCTAAAAAACCATTAAACCTATCAAACGTGACATGGCTAACATGTTTAACGTTGGTAGGCCATCCAATCTCCATAGGATGATGAACAGTCGAAATCACATCGTCAGGACTCTCCACACTACAAGCCACCATTGATTTCTTCAAAGCAGCCAACATTAGCGCCGCCGGCGACACTTCATCGCCGCTGTCACGCCCTCCTCTTCTCCCCTTCACACCACTGCCGCATCCACCACTCACCACTACTGCTCCTCTCATTCTCAATATCCTTTCTTCTTCTTATTCTCCACACAAACACTATCTCTGTAGACACAGATTTTGAATTTGAGCTTCTTCTTTGTTTGTTTTTGTTGTGTTGTGTGATTGAGGTTGTTTGTTTTTTTGTGTGATGCTTTTGAAGGCTCTTGTGTTTTATTTCTCTTGTGAACTTCAACGGCCACTTGTGTTTTCAAATTTTGGTTAACTTTTTCGATATACTTCATTATTGTAGTACTATTTTACCCTTCATGGATATTATTATTATTATATTTTGTACAATCATAATTAATTCTACCTGCTACAGCTACTCCACATTAAGCTTTTTGTTTAATTAACTCTTACATCAACTTAATCATAACTTTCGTTTTGATCTTAATATGGTAAAATATTTTAAATTCAACTTCTTTCATAAAGCTAAATTAAATGTTACCTCTACTAGCTTCTATCTTATTAACTCAAGTTTATGATTTTATTAGTTTGGCTGTGATTTGTTTAAAGTATTTTTATTTACGTATAATTAAATTTATAACTTATTTAAAACAAATCATTTTTGTAATGAGTTTGACTTATAACTTTTAAATTCTAGTAAAAAAAATTATAAAATATATCATTGTTAATAATAAGTGTCTAACAAGTCTCTTATTATTTATTAAGTTAAGCATAAGTTATTCTTATTAATAAATAAGAGGAGAAAAAATTAAGGAAAAAACTTAAATACAATTCTCAATGTGTGGTTTTTATTATTTTTCAATGATAATATGATAAATATGTTTAAATATAATTTAAGGAGTAAAAATAGAAGTAATTTATATATGTGTAATAAAAAATTATATATTTATTATATTTTTATTGGAAAATAGTAATAACCACACCTAAAAAATTATATCTAAATTTTATTTAAAAAAAATTGCAATTTACAAAATTGGTTAGACCTTTATAATAGATGAAGTGATTCAAAATTTACATCAAACATTTATAATAATATTTCCTTTTCAATATTTTTTGATCGTACCTAATCAAAATGGATTGTAAAGCCTTACGTCGAGCTGAAGTTGAAAGTGAGATGGGAATGGGGTACCTGCAAGACACTCTGATGTCAAAGTAAGTTTCAGAGAGAGTGCGAGCAATTGTGAGTATGAGTATGAGAATGAATATATGATCCTTTCAAATGAGAGGGTATTTATAGTCCCCAGCGCTGAGCCAAGGTCCCCATTGTTGGGCCACGATGAGGCCCACTAATAAAGACTGTCAGGGCCTACGTGCTATGAAGTCCAGCAAGTGGACTCTCCCCTAGTCAACTGCTCCGCGAGAATAGGGGTTGGACCCTGATTTCCGGAGGACAGTTAAGATGACAGTGATACAAGCACGTGGGTCACGTTCCCCAACTGATGCGTGGGGAGTTACCCAACGGTCCCTAGCTTTAGTTCTTTGCTTTTGGGTCTTATACAAGAGTGTTGAATTTGACCTCTCAATCGTAGGGAAAGTGCAGGCCCAGTTCAGATCAGGAGCCCCCCAAGTTATTGCCCTTAGGTGAAAGGGTGATGACTTAAGTTC